ATCCTCCTAGGCCCTTTCAGTCCGCTCTCTAGGTCTCTCATGGTACTTCAGGCGGTCGAGGTTCTCAGATGCACTATCCTGATCAGCAGCCTTACAGTGCACCACCGGCTCCCATCAGTGCACCGCCGCTTCAGAGTTTCCGAGGTGGTCATTCAGGTCGCCAGGGTCAACCTCAGTTTCCTCAACTACAGCATTCGGGTGGATGTTATGAGTGTGGTGAGTATGGTCACATCAGGAGGGCTTGCCCGAGGTTGAGGGGTGCTCAGCCGCAGCAGCAGGGTCCCCGTCCTATGATTCAGGCACCAGATGTTCCACAGGCCGCCCAGCCAGCCAGAGGCAGGGGTAGAGGTGCTAGAGGTGGAGGTAGAGGTCATAGAGGTGGAGCTCAGGCCGCCAGAGGTGGAGGCCAGCCGGCAACCGGCCGTCCTAGAGAGGCAGTTCAGGGTGGTGGGGCCCATCCCCGATGTTATGCTCTTCCAGCCAGGCCAGAGGCTGAGTCTTCAGATGCAGTCATTACAGGTACTATTCTGGTTTGTGATAGAGATTCTTCAGTTCTATTTGATCTAGGGTCTACGTATTCGTATGTGTCCTCTTATTTTGCACCGTAACTGGTCATGCCTAGTGATCCACTGAGTATTCCTGTTTATGTATCTACACCGGTGGGTGATTCTATTATGGTCGATCGAGTTCATCGTTCTTGTGTTGTGGTGATTGGGGGTCTTGAGACCCGTGTTGACTTGTTGCTTNGAGAAAATCCGCATGAAGCGTTTTCATGAGGAGCTTGAAGGGAGATGCTTGTCTTGGTACATTAGCCAAGGTCCGAAGAGGTGGTCGAACTGGGTGAGCATGGCGTCCGATTTTATGGATAGATTCAGGTTCAACACAGAGAATGCGCCAGATGTGTTCTATATTCAAAATCTGAAGAAGAAGCCCACAGAAACATTCACAAGTATGCTACTCGATGGAGGTCAGAAGCTGCTAAGGTTAGGCCTACCTTAGAAGAAGAGTAAATGAACAAATTCTTCGTTCGGGCCTAAGACCCACAGTATTATAAGAGGCTGATGATGATCGAGGGCCACAAATTTTCTAACATTATCAAGCTGGGAGAAAGGATCAAAAAGGGCATCAAAAGCGGTATGATTACAAGTTTCGAGGCTTTGCAAGCTACAAACAAAGCCTTATAGTCAGGCGGTGTGTCCAAGAAAAGGGACGTAGGAGCCGTAATGGTGGCACAGAGAACCGATCTATTGTGGTCGATCGAGTTCATCGTTCTTGTGTTGTGTTGATTGGGGGTCTTGAGACCCGTGTTGACTTGTTGCTTTTAGATATGGTCGACTTCAATGTTATATTGGGGATGGACTGATTATCCCCGTATCATGCTATCTTGGACTGCCATGCCAAGACCGTGACCTTAGCTTTACCAGATTTGCCCCGTTTAGAGTGGAGAGGGACCCCAGGTCACTCTACCCGCAGTGTTATTTCGTACGTGAAGGCTCGGCGTATGGTCGAGAAGGGGTGTTTGGCCTATTTAGCCTATGTTCGGGATTCCAGTGTTGAGGTTCCTTCTATTGATTCTGTGCCTGTTGTTTGTGAGTTCCCTGATATTTTTCCTTCAGACCTGCCGGGTATGCCACACGACAGGGATATTGATTTCTGCATTGATCTGGTACCGGGCACTCAGCCCATTTCTATCCCCCCGTATCGTATGGCGCCGCCGGAGTTGAAAGAGTTAAAGGAACAGTTGCAGGATTTGCTTGAGAAGGGTTTCATTAGACCCAGTGTCTCACCTTGAGGTGCGCCGGTGTTATTTGTCAAGAAGAAGGATGGGTCAATGAGAATGTGTATTGATTACCAGCAATTGAACAAGGTAACGATCAAGAATAAGTATCCACTGCCGAGGATTGATGATTTGTTCGACCAGCTTCAGGGTGCCAGGGTATTTTCCAAGATTGACTTGCGATCTGGCTACCATCAGTTGAGGATTAGGGCATCTGATGTCCCTAAGCAGCTTTCCGCACTCGGTACGGGCATATGAGTTTCTTGGTTATGTCATTCGGGTTGACAAATGCCCCAGCAGCTTTCATGGACTTGATGAACCGAGTGTTCAGGCCTTATTTGGACTCATTCGTGTATAGTTTTCTATTGATGATATATTGATANTGGTAACTAGGCCTGATAGCATCTTTGCTAGTCTTCTCGGACTAGGAGCTCTACTAGGCTTGACCATGGGAAATTGCTTGATTTATGAAATTGGTGAAAATTGGAAGGACTTTAGACTTTCGGAATAAGGGCAATTAAATTGGAATTCAAACTTAGGGCTTAACAGCGCTCCCAGGAAAAGCTCGAACGACTTTGAGCAAGAGGGTACCTGTACCCGGTCCTACAAATAAGCTTCCGAAAGGGGTGCTTGCTGGAGCAGCTCAACGAGATGTGGGTTCAATTCTCGCCATGCCTCATCCTAGTAGGTGTCTGCGCCATTGGGCCAGCTAAACTTGCTCTGATCTAGTGTGCGTCCGCTCATGTTCGTGTGTTATTTCTTGGCACTCTCTTAGACTGTCTATCCCTTTATACCTGGGTATAAAAGCCAGAAAGAAAGTAGTCTGGGAGGCTGCAGGTACTATGGATCCTCTGACACCCAATCGGGTTGCCTTCCCAGGTCTCGCCGGTGTTGCCTGTAGGTCGTGATATGCCTTGAGATGGCCAACGGATCTGGTGGTCGACAATCGTTCGGACTTGGTAAAGGTTGTCGCAGCACCTGTAGTAGGACAGAGGACTTATCGCGATGCCCGCAGACCAATTTACGATGTCTCCGTCGCTGACGTTCGTCAAGCAGGCCACGTGGATTGGCCAGGGTCTTCCTCTGTTAAACAGCTCAGCGACTTGGGAAAGAGCTTGTCCACTGCACACTGCTTGATCCGATAAAGCAAAGCAACCTGGCCCACAGCTCTTTGTGTTGGGGCTTGATTCCACCGCCGAATCAGAAAAATTGGGTGCTATCATAAAGCTTTGTATCGGCTAAGTTCACGAGTTGGAGATAAGCGAACTCGAACCGCGGAGCTCTTGAGCCACTGAACTCATGATCCATGACTGTACAATGGCGTTACATCGATCCCATTGGTGCAACTTGAAAGGATCTGCTTCATATTTCTCCCTACTGTAGGTTCCATCAATGAAACCTATTTTGTTCTTCACTAAAAGTGACATCTTCATAGAGCGACCCCATTCCGAGTAATTCTCTGTTCCGATCAACAACTGAGGAACCAGCGCAATCCCCGGCGTGTCTGAGGGATGAACGAACAGCGGATCATTGCAATCGAGCAGTTGACTGCTTGCATGTGAAGTTCCTACTCCAATTTGTGAAGAATCACCCGTCATCGTAGCAAAACTTGTCAATACTCAGAATTAGGGCTAGAGGCAAAAATCGAAGAAGCGAGAACTTGATTTGAGGAAATTGAGAAGAAGAGAACGACTAGCAGCTTCAGATTACAGATCGTACTCGACCTGCTCTGATACCATATCAAAAACAAGCTAGATCTGCCATGGACATGGAGGCAAGATCTAGTGAGAAGAGATGAAATGCAGAAAGAAAAGTAGAGGATCGAAGAGAGAGGAAAAATTGTATATCTTTTCTTACTTGCTTCTATGCACTGTACAAGAGTGTATATATTATATACAAAACTACTAATATGTCCTAACTAATTGACTAATAGACTCATCTAGAAGTGTACATGTTAAATAACACACCGTACAAGTACCCTCAACTAGACTTTATATCTCTACAATAGGCAGTTGGGCTTTAACTCTGTAGTAGTAATTACGTCGTCACTTTCTAAGCAACGGGTCATGATTTTGACTTCTACCAACAATTAGGAGTTTTATTCTTTCCTAGGTTATTCTTGACCTATTATTTCATAGTGCGCAATTACTAACGAGTGAATATATTGGAAAAAAGATTAATCTCACTTTATACAAATAAATTTTCTTTTACTGCAATTTTCTCAAATACTTATAGATACTTATGTTTTATATATACTTTTGTTATTTTTGCATGATATTTAAATGTGTAATTTTCTTCCAAAAGTCGTAGTATGATACGTAAAATGATACAAATGAATCTCGTGATCCTTTTGGAATAGAGGACGTATGAACTAACTAAAGATTTTGGTATCTTTTTAAATTTTTTAACCTGAATTTGCCCCCTAATTCCTACTTATTCTAACTCATTGTATGGGACCGGATGATCTTTTTGCCAAACTACACTCTTTTATTTTGATGATTTCTGCCTCCTGTTTCTTTCAATTTGCTTTTAAAATAAAATATTAATAACATTACCTTTAATTTGAGCTTTATGTGAATATTAAAAAGTACAATAAAGATTTTCGCAAGTGATTAAAATTGTAGTAGAGAAATATCTTTTTGTCAACTAATGCAACGAGCAACTCTTTCTAATGAACTCTTGCCATTGCTTGTGGTACGATACTTCTGTAAATTCTTTATACTATCTGCCATCTGCATATATTTAAATTATTACTAGTATTTATTTAAGTTAAGCAGACAGTAGACATACTAATGAAACAAATATGGGAGAAATTCAAAAATAGCCAGATTTAGAAGTGGTCATTCAAAAATAGCCATAATTTCAAAAGTAATCTAAATTTAGCCACTTTTCATGTAAAGATAAATCTGAACGAAAATACTGTTCAAAATCCGGAAAAATACCCCAGTATATTATACTGGAACTTTCCGCGTGTTGGAGTTCCAACATATTATGCTGGAAGTTCATATACCGGTGCACCGATCTCCAATATATTATGTTGGAACTTTCTGTGTTGCAGCAAATAGTGGTTATTTTTCAATGACTTTGCAAACGCTGGCTATTTTTGAATGTCCAGACCGAAAATTGACTAGTCCGTGCTATTTTTACAACAAATTAGCTATTGACAACATGACTAATAAATTACTAAATACAAAAACCACTCTTTCATATATCATATACCGGATACAAAAACATATAAACCTTCCTAACAAAATTCCAGAGCCTGCCATTCTTTTCCCCCAAAAATTGCAACTCCGAGCTCAAAATTGGAAGGCCATACTTAGACATGATAAGGAAGAAAAGAAAAAGAAAAAAATAGTAGAAGGTGGACTTTGGCTAGCTAGCTAGTAATTAGGAGGACGATACATAGTACTTACTAAAAATAATAGTAGTGACACATGAAAAAAAACATATCGATATTGTTCGGACTCTCCAAAAATGTCTTCGGGTGCACGACTAATCCTTCAAAAATAACGTATTTCTGGAGGATCCGACACGGGTACGACAACATTTTGAAAAATTTGTGCAACCTAGTCTTTGTTAGTTAGGTACTAAAACTTATGATATCAATGAAGATGACTAACTATTCCAAGAAACCAGTCTTAGTTAAAATGGCATTCCTTAATTTGCTAAGGTCCCTTCCCTTTAGAGTTCTTCCAACTCCTTCCATCATTGAAAATGAAGCAACCTGATTTCTTGCTAACCTTCTTGCTATATATTCATGTGGTGGAACTATTCCATCTCCATAATCATCTTCTTCATCTACTTCATTAATACTCTCAACATTATTTCCATAATAAACTGCACCATCAGAAGAAACCAATGAACCATCTTTTGAAACTCTTTTTGATTTCTTGTCATTGATCTTAACAGGAGTTGATGATTTCTGTAGTGGCACAGCAATGGACTCAATAGTACTATTACTACTTTTTTTAACTCTTCTTGAGGATGATGAAGCTGAAAAATCTGTTTCCTTCATATAAGCCCATACATCTTCTTCTTGAAAATCTCCATCTTTCTGTGTTTTTCCACTGTTTCTGTTGTTGTTATAGCCACCATACAACTCTTCCATGGGTTTGGTTTTAATTAGATCTCTCAAAATTTCAAGAATGAATAGAGATAAAAAGTTTGGGACTTTTTTATTTTAAGTACCAAAAGAGCTTGCCAGCTAGAAAGCCTTACAACTATTTATAGCAAAGAGAAAGGGTTGTTTGGTTTTTTTTTAATGAATTTTTTTGGTTATTTAAGGGAATCATTAAGAAAAAGAAGAGGATGTAAGAGAATGGTATCAGGAATCTTGTTTACCTTAGGTGTAAATAGCTCCAAAAAAAGGGCAGAAGCTTTTTTTCTGAGTTTTCTCTTAATGGCAAACCTCCACAAAGAAGATCACAGATTTCAAGGGGCTAGGTTTAATACAAGTGTTCTGTAGTATCAGAATGGAAAAGACAAGGAACACAGAGATTTATAGATAAATATTTGAAACTTTCATCACCCTCAATACTGGAAACTGAAGCCAAAAAAGCTAAAAAGAAAATGATGATTTTCATGAGAGGTTTGAAACTGAAAGCTAATGAGGAGAATATTTTTGGTCACATGAAAGTCCAAAGAAGCCCACAGAAAGTTGTTAAGAAACCAAATGAACTTTTGAATGTAGAAGAGGCCTTGGGAAATCTCACAAGCTAAGTGTCAAAAGAAATACTCCCTCTCAAAATTTAAGAAAAAATAAAAGACGTTTGAAATTTATGGTCTGAAACTATTTATAAATATTTGTGTGATTATAAATTATCTTATTAAGGGTAAAATAGGAAGTTTAAATTATATTATTTTCAAATTTAAAAAGGAATCATTCTTTTTTACGACAGACTAAAAATGAGAAAAGTCCATTTTTTAGACGGAGCGAGTACATTAGGAGGAGGCTCGTTTATTACTCTCCGTATTAATTCATTCATAAACAAACACTTTTATATTCGAAAATAATTTAACTTTAATAATTTCATTTCATTCTTAATAAGAAATTCTATGACCACTTATATATTACAACGTATTTAATATAACAAGTTCTATAAGTTTTTTTTTCTTCTTAAATTCGAATTAAGTCAAACTACATATAATTAGAGTGGGTGTAGTAAAGAAAACATAATACACTCCATTTTATTGAAGTTGAGTGTTTCTCCATTTTATCCTTCATAGGGTTAGATGGGAGCTGTATGTGGTGGATAAAGGGGTACAGATGCATCAATCAATTCTCCTGAATTCTTGAAACTGGTATTTTTGGATTGGGAAAAGTGGAGGGTAACGATTGGTCGAGCTAACTTTTCACTGATTTCTGTAGTCTTATCCAATTCAGGAGCCAACTAAGCTTCGCATTAAACCAGAGCAAAAGGCCAGTAAGCGAGTGAAATGAACTACATTAGGAGCCTGGCCGCCGGGGGGGGGGGGGGTGTGCTGATGGAGTAAAAGCATTTCATTGGCTCGTGCACATTGATATTTGTGGTGGGTTTTTCTTTTATAGTACTCTCTCCGGTTCAAAATAAGTGATTTTTTGGATGTTTTCACACAGATTAAGAAATTTACCTTTTTAGCATTAATTAGTAATGGAATTGACCATATTAACCTTTACTATCTCACATAAACACTCTTAACACATATTCCAACACTATTTACTCTAAGGACAATGTAGGAAAAAAATAATTAATTCATTCTTGAAATCTGAAAAAATCACTTATTTTGGACCACAAAAAAAAGACCAAAAAATCACTTATTTTGGACCGCAGGGAATAGTATTTTAATTTGAGTATAGCGGGCCGGTAACTTTTTGTAATGTCAAGAGAACTACTACTTAAAAGATAATTGTTCTTAATAATTGATTAATTAGTTACCTAAAAATAAAGTATGTAATCTGCTACATAATATAATACTCTATCTCTCTCAAATTATGTGATAGTGTTCTCATTTGAATACCAATAAGTTGTTCTTTGACTGTAACTTTTTCATATGCCTTTTATTATTTTAAATTATTAATTATTGTGGCATATAATATTTTTTTATGTAGTTTTCCAAAATTTTATTTAAAAAATTTAAAGATTTGATGTTCAAAATACAACAACAACAATTCAGTGTAATCCCACAAGTGGGGTCTGGGGAGGGTAGGATGTACGCAGCCTTACCCCTACCTAGAAGCAGTGGTGGTGCCAAAAATGTTTCCAAGAGCGTTCAAACTTGAAAGAACTAAATAAAATTTCTCGACAAAGGGTGTTCAATATATATTTTATACATCTAACATCAGTATTTTACTTATATACACAGTGTAAATTTTCGTAATATTTCGGTGAAGGGTGGTCAGTTGACCACCCTTTGTTAAAGGTGGCTTCGCCCCTGCCTGGAAGAGCAGAGAGACTATTTCCAACAGACCCTCGGCTAAAGAAAAGATGGAAGAAGCACTGATAGCAAGTAATAGCAAGACAATATATTTAGAAAACTAAATCCAAGATAGCAATAGAGAATATGAAAGAAGTACTGATAGCAAGTAGCAACAGTACAAGGTATGTGGTGATAGCAAACTGAGGGAGTACTGATGGCAAGTAATAACAGTACAAGATATGTGATAATAGCAAACTAAGGATAAATGGGATACCATACTAACACTAATACTATTGAACTAATGAAGACAAAGGGAACGCTCAACTACCTATGAACCTTCCTCCATAATCCTCAAACTTTACACCCTCCTATCAAGGGTCATGTTCTTGATGTTCAAAATATATACACGATCAAAATTAAGAAGTTTAAATATAAAAAAGTGAAAAGTAACACATAAATTGAGATAGAAGAAGTAAAACATATTGATACTATTAAAAATTAATATTATCCATCGTGTAGCATAAGATAAATCTTGAATCCCTTTAACGGGGAAATTGAAATTTCTAACATCATTCCATTAGTGATTACCAAATTCCAACTATTCCCATCCCTATCCTGTCTCAAACTTCAAGACTTGTGTTTTTTGGGATTGTTGCTGAATTGACTGTGCAAACGTAAAAAAAGCGAAGTGCATGTCCTGAGATCTGGGATTATTACTGACTCTTTAGTGTCAGAAGACACTGTAACCCCTACCAACCAAAGCCAATGGAAGTATACATGGTGGGGCTTCCCTTTGATAGAAGCCAAGAATTCCTTCTGTTTATAATGAGTAGTACTTTGGATGTGAAATTTAGAGAGAGAAATATTGCAAAATGATAAAATTGTATTCTGGTCCAACTGAATATGTATATGTACAGGTTCCTATTTATATATACATGTGTACTCCTCCATGTAGTAACAGCTGGCATAACTAATATACCACTAGCTAGCTAACTCAAATGTGTAAAATATGGAAAATTACATAAATATCCCTAGCTTCTCATCCTAAACATTAGCCCATACCTCTGATAGCCTCGTGCTCACCACAGTGGTCGTCAGTGCTAATCTCAACACCCCACCCCCCCAAGTTGGAGGGTGGAGATTGAACCCCCAACTTGCCCAAAATTTCAGGATGCAAAGGATCCGGCAAGGATTTGGTGAAGATGTCGGCTAATTGCAAGCGGGTAGGGACAAAAGAAAGAGAGATAAGCCCAGATTGGAATTGCTGCCGCACAAAATGGCAGTCAAGCTCCACATGCTTGGTACGCTCGTGAAAGACGGGGTTTTTGGCGATATAAATGGCCGCCTGATTATCAGAGTGCAGCGGAACAGGCAAGGAAGGAGAAACAGATAAATCGGAAAGAAGACGAACCAGCCATGTCAACTCAGAGACAACACGACGCATAGATCGGTACTCTGCCTCGGCGGAGGACAAAGAAATAGAGGGTTGTTTCTTAGATTTCCAAGAGATAGGGCAAGATCCCAAACTGATGAAGAACCCACTGACGGAGCGGCGAGTATCAGGACATGAGCCCCAGTCAGAATCGCAGAAAGCAAGAAGGTCAAAAGAGGGAGAAGAGGTCATAAAGAGACCCAGACCAGGATCCTTAAGAAGATAACGGAGGCAGTGTTTGGTAGCATCCAGGTGAGGAAAGCGAGGGTCTTGCATGAACTGAGACAGATGTTGAACAGCAAAAGAAATATTCGGGCGAGTGTGGGTCAAAAAATTGAGTTTGCCAAGAAGACGACGATAAAGAGAAGGATCAGGGAGAGGAGCCGCCACACCAGCAAACAACTTACAAGTAGGATCAAGAGGGGAAGAGGTTGGTTGCTCAGCTAGACAATCAAATTCGGAGAGCAATTCAAGAGTGAATTTGCGTTGACTGAGCATCAGACCTTGAGGATCCCTGAGGACCTCCATGCCAAGAAAAAAAGATAAGTCCCCCAAATCCTTTATTTGAAATTCAGCATGTAAAAACATTTTCAAATCAGTGAGCTCTTCCAAATTATTGTCAGTCAATAGAATGTCATCGACATAAACAGCCACTAGAGACACAGAAGCGCCACTGCACTTGTAGAACAAAGAGTAGTTGTTGAGAGAGTGAGTGAAGCCCTTAAAGTTCAGAGCAGTAGTCAGTTTAGCATACCACTGACGAGAAGCCTGACGTAGACCATAAAGGGATTTCTAAGACGACAAACCAGGTGAGGAGAGGGAGGAAAGTAACCTGCAGGGAATTTCATATAAACCTCCTCATGGAGGTCACCATGGAGAAACGCATTATTAACATCCAACTGATAGAGACCCCAACCTTTCTTCACAGCAATAGCCAAAATACACCTAATAGTGGTCATTTTAACAACAGGGGAAAACGTCTCAGTAAAATCAATGCCCTCCCTTTGAGTGTCTCCTCTAATGACCAATCGAGCCTTAAGCCTCTCAACAGAACCATCAGATTTAGGTTTGACCTTGTACACCCATTTACAAGGAAGAGCTTTCTTGCCTATAGGTAGAGGTACCACTTCCCAGGTATCATTGGCAAGCAAGGCATCCAGTTCTTTTGCCATGGCATCCTGCCAGCCAGGGTGTTGAGCAGCCTGTGAGTAGGATACAGGCTCTTGAATTTGAGAAATGGACGGAATAAACATGTTGATTGGAAACAGACAAGGCACAAAAAGGAATAGGAGTAGGGGAGATAGGAGAGAGGAAACAGGGAGAAGAAACATTAGTGAGATGGAGAGCATTACATATGAAATCTGATAGATAAGCATGGGTTTTATGGTCTCTTAGGGATCTGCGCAATGCAATAGGAGGAGGGGGATCAGAGGATAAGAGAGAGGAAGAAGAGTGAGAAGGACTGGGAGCAGGAGGTATAGAAGGAGAAGAAGTAGGACTAGGAAAAGGAAGGGGAGAAGGAAGTGGAGAAGCAGGAGGAGAATTACATGGAGGAGAATCCAAAAAGGAAGGAACAGGAGTAGGATCAGATGAGAAATCCATAGGAGGAACAATAGAAGAGAGAGGAGAGGATGAAGGAAAAGGAGAAGTCATCATAGCAAAGGGAAAAATGGATTCATGGAATA